AACAGCAATTTGGAGTAACCACTTTCTACTCATTAATAATTTGTTTCACAATAAAAATCTATTTCCTCAAGCTTGAAAATATGCCTAGAGGGCACAGTTGGCCACACAGCAATTTGAATAGTGGAACATACTGTTTACATGTCAAAGCCTAATAAATGTTGGGTATTCAAATAATACCAGAGCTGCTATGTTATGGCACAGACCTTGTGAAGCTGCATGGCCCTAAAATGTATTCATCGTCTCAAGGATTCTGGAGATAAAAAAAGGCTTCTTGAACATAGCCGTTACCCTATAAATAATGCAATAGCAATCACTAAACAGACCTACAATTGTGTGTCTGGCATAACCACTACATTGGAAGTATACATAATTCTACAGTGTACTCAATAATTTACAATAGATGTTTTTTTTCAATTTTAAAAAGGTGATTAAAACCTTTGACAACCTACAAGGTGATTAAGAGTGTAGAAAGCTTGTATTTATAAAAAGTAAACAATGTCCCTCCCTATTCAGTCATGTGTCCCAGCAACACAAGGAATTACAGGCATCCAGAGGGATGTGTGCCTCTGTGCACCTCAATTCTCCGTCTAACTAACCAGTATTAGCAAGCATAACAAAAACAAAGGAAGGGAAACACTAGAGAAGGGAGTATCCTTTATGTTAAAAGCCCAAGACGCTGCACTCTTCTGTACTAAACAGCTACAATTAGGTTCTGCAGCACATTGCACCATGTTGAGCAACAGAACAATTAAACTGTCTGGGCAATAAAACCCAGACAGCTAGCCCCAAGCTCTTAATTTTTTCACCCCTGCAGTGAATTGATATTCTCGGTCCTCCATGTCAATATACAGACCTCCAGTAAAAACAGGTGTATCTTTTGTCTGCCTCAGTGTGTCTGATAACAGCTTAGAGGAAGCCGTGAATAAAAATGAAAATCAAAAAATAACACTATTTTTGACTGACTATTGTTCTCATTATTGTAATCCTGGGAACAGAGTGCACATGTGGGTCATTGCAGAGTGTTAAACCTATTCACTTTGGTTTTTAATAAACAGATACACTCATTCGTAGATTACAAGTGGAACAAGTGGAACCCTAAACATAAACAAAGGCGCCAGACTGCAGTGTGTTTTAAATATGACTAGAGTATATTTATCAGGAAAATTAAACTAATGTCATAGTAAAATACAGCAGCATAGAGGATGCTTTAGCTCTGCATGCACAGCTCCTTACCTTGCTTGAGGCACTTTTTCACTTGAAGCTGAAAGTAGAATCTTTCCATCCATTAATGCTCTTCTTTTAGACTCGTATTTCGGGCCAAATTTCAACGATCATTTATTCCTCTTCAGAGAGAAGTCAGATTTTTTTTAAAACACGACTTTTACCATAAAAATAAGAAAGTGTTGGGTAAAAAGCAGGTGTTACATTGTTGTTCTCGGTCCGAGCAGTGGATCAAAACAAAATAACATTAATCCTCGGCATCCAATGTTATCAGACTTCCATTGGAAATACTTTGCGGTTTCAATAAAATCCATACACCCATGCCAGCTTCATGAGTACGACATCATCGCATTTAAAGTCCATTTAAACTTTCCACGCCTTGGCTGTTAAGTCCGCAATCGTCTGTGTCCAAACTTGCTGGAAGTCGCTTTAATCATAAGTGAGAGTTTATGATTAACTTAATAAATGTGTAGAAATGTCCCTCGGTCGACGCAGTGTACATTTATCATCAAACAGGCGCAAGTTTCACTAGAAAGAGAGCACACAGTGCACGTTTACTTCGAGCCCTGCTGTTGATACTCTCCCCATGTCTCTCCTCCCATTACTATCGTCCCCTCCTCCTGCTGGTGGCCACCATCAAGTCAAGCACAATATAATGATTATACTTCCTGTTGAACCTTTCAAAATAAAACCCTCACTGACGAACAGGGTTGGGCACACGGTCAGTTAAAATGTGTAAATTAGTGCTAAAACCATTTTTCCGGTAGCATCCTTTATCAAACAGTTTATGTAATCCACCAATAATTTCAGTAATTTATGAAAATGGCATTTTTTCCTTTCTCTTGCTTCTCAATTGTAAGATGTGCGGTTGTTTATCAAGAAATGAAATTGATATTACCTGAATATAAGGACATATTCCATATTTGTATGAACAACCTTCTTAAATTATTGATAATTGCAAAAATAATCAGCAGATTAATCATTTAAGTTTTTTAGGAGACATGAATGTCACAGGTGTTAAAATGCTAAAATCCATTTAGCCTAATTCTATTTAGCTGCTACAGTTTAGGGGTCCTGATACTGTACAAGTGAAGACATGGCTTTGTGTGATAATCCACAGAAACAGACAGAATGGAGCGACATTTAAATGTTGTTAGTAACCCATGTGTGTTTCCTGCTATTATTCCGAATAGCCTTAATGCCATAAAAAAAGTATTGAATTACATTTAAATGTGTTTTCTATTTCATACTCTTCAGATTTTAGAGTTAAATGTGCTATGTCATGATCAGATACAACCATCATTATTATGACAAAATGGTAAACCCAGACATGTAAACTTAATAAAACGTTGTATTTTTTTTTTGTACATTTCTTGAAATGTTGCACGGAAATTGTTTGTCGAAGCATAAGTCTGTGGGAAAGGCTGACAATTCATGGTTTGAACAAAAACGCTTTTATCTTGAAGAGAAAGTAACCCACTTCCGCTGGTTTGCCACCAGTTTCCGTGTGGCTTGATGCGGCTGCTGGGGCTTAAGCGCCTCAGACAAAAGCGCCTGTTCATGGGAAAGAATTGGGGATCGTAACAAAAGGCAAAAGCACACCTAAAGGACACACATATGTCTCAGGACCGTTTGGTACAGCATCCAACATAATGTAAATAAGACATATGGTTGTTAGGAGATATATCTAACCTTCCAGTGTCAACATGTATAAGAAGGGTTTAATATATTGAAAATGCCATTTCAAATACAAGGTACCAAATCCTTAAAATGTTCCCAAGGACTAGTAAAGGTATTCAATATAATGATTAGTTCACTGTACAGGACTGTCTCAGAAAATTAGAATATTGTGATAAAGTTCTTTATTTTCTGTAATGCAATTAAAAAAACAAAAATGTCATACATTCTGGATTCATTACAAATCAACTGAAATATTGCAAGCCTTTTATTATTTTAATATTGCTGATTATGGCATACAGCTTAAGAAAACTCAAATATCCTATCTCTAAATATTAGAATAATTCTAATATTTAGAGATAGGATATTTGAGTTTTCTTAAGCTGTATGCCATAATCAGCAATATTAAAATAATAAAAGGCTTGCAATATTTCAGTTGATTNATAAGCGAGCCATGGTGTCAGGGTGTAAACAATTAATGTGGTAACACTGGCGTGAGATGTTCATGAGATAATATCTAATGAATATTAAATCAACACCACCAGGCCCGAGCGCCGGGGGTGCGGGCTTGTATTTGAGCAGAGTAGCGTGCGTTAAACAAACATGCGAAGCACTGCTTTCCATGCTAGTCATAGAATGTTGCGCATGGTATCAGTTCTTTGTAGATCCAGTTTCATACGATCTAATGGTCAATACTGGGCCAAGAGTAGCAAGCTTAACCCATCGCCTCGGAGCTCGGATTGAGTAGACTTGAATCTAGCCTTTTCACAGTGGTCGTGCCATCACTTGCCATGCGAAGCCCTTTGACGTACCGAAAACTCAAACAGAAAGTACCTACAAACTGCAACTTTTTCGAAAATGTGCCATCAATTTCTGCACATTTGACGTGCTGGGTCTGGTAGGACTGCTCAGTTAAAAAACAGAAACTGCCTCATTCGGTACTCCCATCCACGTAGGCGGCTTTCAAACTCCACTGCCTCCCAAATCTCGCGCGTCGCAGCACATTTTTCGAAACTAGTAGTCGACTAGCTCGTGACCGCTCGGTAGATAAGGAAGACACACAAAGAATGAGAGGTGCTACAACTGATATCTTCTTTATTGCGCAACCTGCGATACAGCCAGACATGTAGAACACTGCCCCATTTTTGACAGTTTGTTCGGTTACAGCTGAGCAGTAAATAACAACACACGCCAACTGCGACCACCAAAACTTCGGCGACAGCAAGGAAAAACTCTTTAGATTGAATTGTTAACCTGTAATTGAGGTTATTAAACCGTGCCAGCAGTGTAGGTGAAGACAGCTAAATCAGTGCCCCCGCCAGAACTTTATTCGCTCGTGGTCCTCGAACAGATCAACGCCTCCACGCATTCCCATTAGAAGGACTGTCTCTCCACGATATAATTATTGATTTAATTAGGTTCATGCGTGGTCTCATTTGCGTATTACGAATGACGTGAATTTACTCTAATCTCTAAAACATGACTTGTAATAAATCATATGTAGTCATGCTAGCTACCTGATGAGAATAGAGAGCTGCTTGCTTTCACTGCGGATTATAAGTATGACCACGTAATACTACGGCGTGCAGTTTCCCACCATGATTGATTTCTTGTGTGAACCTTGAATGGTGCGAAAAAACCTCACTTCGCTGTGTGAGGGTGCCTTGTGATGGATGGAAATCACAGGCCCATGTTCCTCGGTGATGCATGCAGCGGTGGCTGCGCATGCTCTGTGTCCATTGTTCTCTGCCCCAAGCTTACATACTCAGTTGCAGCTGTGAGCTCTCGATGTGGGTCGGCACGGTAATAGCGCTCGGTGTCTGCTGCGAGGTAGTAATATCCGCGAGGTCATCATCAGCCATAGTCACTCGGTGACCCGATTATGCGTTGATTGTGTTGTGCTACCTGACCAGGATGTGACCATCTTGCTCTAGTTCTAGATCATACGGGCGCTCAGCTCCGTTGTCTCATGGTGCTGCATTACTGTTTTAGCTGCTAGCTGGATCTCGGAGACAGCGATGCGTCAGTCTCAATATTCGATGTGGTCGGCCAATGCCCTGGTATGCATCTTCTGATTACACTTTTAAGAAACTACACTGATCGCAGCATGGAAAGGATTATTATTTTTTAAGTTGCGCAACATTATTGAAAGCAGATTTTGAGCGTCAAATAATACAACTATTTTAGATCAGTGCGGCGTATTATCTCCGAGCTGTTTCGCTGTTGATATACTTCTATTCATATGTCCAGTCAAAACGTTTGAGTAGCTCTAACTCTAGTGGGAGGTTTTGTGACATGCTGTCTACATCTTTCGTGAATAACGTATTTAATGGTTCTAAAGATATTGAGAATTTACTGTGTGATTTGGATCCCGTGTGTGTGTGCTGTTCTCTTGCTTTAAAATCTACCGCGTCCATTTTTTCAAGATAGTGATAGGCCTACAGCGCGACTGAGTGGTAAAGGTAGTGACTAGTCGATTAGTTGTCGAAACCCTCCATATGAAACTCCCTTAGGTTCCTAGGATTTCTCGTGATTGACATTTTTCCCCCTTTTCGACGCCCAAAAACAGGTCATCTTGCATCAGAACAATGACATCTTATCCACCCATACAGTGCATTACCTTATCACTAATAGCAACAGTGATAGCATAGATGAGAATAATATATGTAGGATCTTTTGAGATGTAGACATAGTCATGTCTTCCGTCTCTCGTCGAATACTAGATATATTGTTATCTAACTGTACGGTCCACTAGTGTTTCTGAACTGTGTTATGGGATACCTCACCTCAACTTGAGTTTAGCACTGCTCTCCTCAGACTGTCCTCATCACGGACTGCTGACGCAGTATTTGCGTCTATGCGTGTAATGAGTTTTGCGCGCTTTCTGAGTGTCAGAATAGAGGTTAATAATTCTGATAGTCGTTCCGGGCGCGCGTTCAACTATTCTGCACGAGGTGATATTCTGCTCTCAACTGCGTCTGTAAGCAACTATGCGTATGATTCAATTGTGCGTTTCTGTCAGCCAACTCTGTTAAAAGCCTTTATCATCTTCTACCAGAATTATCAAAAGGACTCATGTAACCATTTGTCTCCACTATACGGTCTTTTATCTTACGATGTAGCACACGTGCATCTCACATAGTTGGATGAACTGATATGATATGCGTCTCAGATATGACCTAACTAGCCTGCATTTTCATGCGCGTCAGATACATCGCGCGCGGACCGACTCTTCCACTTCTCTATGAGTTATATTCTTAAATGTAAGCCTATACGCATCCAACCATTCATGCTGCCACTCTTCTCCGCCGGTCTCTACCTGCTCGCCCCGCAGCATCACTCCCTGTGCGTCATCACAATCACTGTCACTGTCTGCCAACATGACTTTTCATTCACAAATGTTTCATCCACATTAAACACTGGAGGAAAGTTTTACCCGTATCGGTGACCCTTTTAGATTACAACCCATAATACACAGGGGTTATAGCCTAAAAATAGAAAATTAACTATGGTGTATACTTCTAATGTTAAGGGGCTAAACACGACTTTGGGTTGGCTGTATAATAAAGGAGCTTTCTCTCACTATAATAGTGCACTTTATTTTAAGGACAAGAGTCATCAACTCAGCTGGAATTTCTCCAGCATGCTCCATAAAATGACTCATAAATTCCCGAAGAATTGACCTGTCATTGTTAAATTGATTGATAGCCTACTACACTTTTCTCCAAAGCTATGATTAAAGTTTGTAAAAGTATTTGACTCCTTAATTGTTTTTGACTTTTGAGCATATGACTAATGCTTTTATAAAAATATGCAGTATCAACTCACAGTATCCCTGAGTCATTACCTTCGCTGGAATTACTCACGCATGTAATAAAATAGCTCATAATTTAAGAAAAATGGACTTGTCATTTTTCAGAAATTATGGATAGCCTGCTACAGTTTTCAGCAGAACTAAAAACTATTGCAGATTTAATCAGAATGTGTTTTAAGATCCTTTGAATCCTTATATCTGGTTAAATTCTAAAGCCTTATCTAAAAACTATAAAGTAATGCTCATTCAAACAGAGCACAGGTTGTAAGCATACATGTAAGTGCGTTTATATATTAAAGGGTTACATTATTTTTGTTTGGGTATTATGCAGCTAGATAATTGTTATGTCCAGGAGAGTGTTTTTCTCTTAGGTTTTGTTTTTGTTTTCAACAGAATTAATAAATAATGCTCATATAAACATATGCCGTATGTATAAGCTTACATATAAACTTAAAGAAGTCATTACCTCAGCTGAAATTACTCAGACGCACTCTAAAATAACTCATAAATTAAAAAAAGAGTACTTGTCATTTGATGAATTGATGAATAGCCAGCTACATTTTTCATTATATTAGGGGTTTTCAAATAAAGTTTTTAAAGTAAAAGTGTTTGACTCTTTACATTTTTATCATCTGTTAACAGGAATTAAAACTCACATAGGTTTTTCTCTACACCGCCAGTAATTTATAATCACTTCAAACCATACTGATGCTGAGCTCATTCATGCTACACATGTCTTTCTCAGCACGATGTACCCCAACCGATTAGTGTAGCATGTGGACCCAGGCTGTCTGAGGAGCAGGGGCAAAAACAATTAAAAGGAAAGTGGGGCACCAAAATAGCAGAATATCTGTTGGCATGTATAGTGCAGCCTATATTGCACAACATCGTCTTGTTTTCTATACTGGAAGGACACCCTATAGGAGGTCAATGACTCATGTTATATTGTCCTCATGGCACCCTAGGGCTCTTTATCACATTTTCTCCTCTGGAGGGGCATTTTATCAAGTTTTTCTTCAATCCTAATAGTTAAACTAAAATGTTCTGGCTATAATCTAAAATGTCACCTCTATATATATAATATATGCACA